TCGTGGACATTTACGAATTATCATATGGCATACGGTCCGTATAGAATTGCAAATATACTCATAAGTTCTTACGAGTCTTACGAGAATAAGTTATGAGTTTTACGATTTTGTCTAGAATTGCACTATTGGTCTCGTTATTATTACGATTGAAGAGACAACGATAAGTTTCTAAATTGCATGAGAATGGATTCATCATGTAGAGTAGTTTCCCGATTTGAATCTACCACCCTTGATCCTCCTTCGAATCGTAATAGAGCAGTGAAATATACGATGCGGAATCTTGCGCTAAGAAGATTGCCTTTTGTTTCATGTCTCTATTTCGATTCGTTCGCAAGTTATGAGCCTTTAAATTCTCTGCTCACTCGCATTAGCGAATGCCGGCTAGCGTGCTAGAGACTTGAACGACCACATGGGTGAGCAGAGCTGAAGAGCATTTGACGAGAGTGGGGATGCGGGCCCCGAAGCGATATCGCGTGAAGCCTATTTACTCACTCTGGCTATTGTCAATTGGGTCGGAACTGACGAATAGCGACTATTTTTCTACTAATCAGAGCAAACCGGCCACCGATCGAAATTAGTGATTGCCAGTTAGACAATGTTCTATTTTTGATCATTGTCAGTTGCGATCCAATGGGCAATCGCTAATGTGTGTTATGAGCTTAAAATAGTTAGACAAACTTTCGGAAACTTTTGTTTGGGATTATAGATCCATGCACCGCGTTCATTCAACAAATGTCACTGGCTCTGCAGTAAAAATAGCGAACCGGTCGAGAGCGCAGTTCAACAAAATTGTTGATAACTTTACTTGTAGACATCGTAGTGACTTGAAATAAAAATCATTGTAAAGCGAAAATTCGTGCACTTCTCATAGATGTGAAATCGTTTTTCCTCAAAATAAGAACAAATCTATGCGGTTAAATAGGAAAAACTGATTGTTTTCGAGTTGATTGCGTTATACTTCCCAACAATATATGTATTTGATTATTCCAAGAATAATATTTAAAAAATTGTAAAGCGAGAAAATAAGGAAAATTATTTGATTTATTTACATATCGTTACTAAAAATGTGTTAATTAACGCGCAACGAGATATCTGGCGTATAACTCTTCAACTTGTGTTTTATATTTGAAAACTCTGTATATGTATCCACGCTTGTATGTACATATGATACTACTCTCACGATACGTATCTCTATTGCTCTCATCAATTGTAACAGTGGCTGAAACGCAACGAATATCTATATTAAAGATCTCGCGAGAAATCTACGTTGGCGAAACATCGCAAATTATGGTGCAAAGAAACGTTGGTTTCATCCGGAACGTAAGGGTTGTCGTCTCGTTTCCCGGAAAATTGGTCAGATCGTAAGATTTCCCGAGTGCCCATGTTACCGATTAGTCTCAGCGCACACGACGGCGAGATCGCGTTTCAGGCAAGAGGGGAATTCTCTTGTCGGGGGAACAGGTGGAGCGGGAAATCGGACGGAAAGTAAGGAAGGAAGGAAGGAAGGAAGGAAGGAAGGAAGACGAGAGGAAGTGAAGGAATGAAGGAAGGAAGCAAACGCCGAACTCGCATTACAGTCGTAGCGATAGACTTCCCCGAGAGTAGGAGAAACTATGGGGTCGGCGGGGGTACAAGTCGAGCGGCAGCACGTCACCATTGTGACGAATGATTCGCGCGTGTTCCGTCGAACACTGACGTTACGACCGGCGCGCGTCGCACCGCGGTGCCGATGCCTTCCGTCCCGACGCGGAAGCCGGCACATGGCTTCGGAATCACGGGTGTTGGCGATATCGATCGGCGCGGGACGGGCAAATAGAGGGAGACGAGGACGGGGAGGTACTTAGAGAACCATTGCATACCGAAACTCTCCCTCCTCTCTCTCTCTCCCTCCCCCCCTTTCTCGCTCTTCCTCTCCGCAGGAGAGGTTTTCGCCGCGGATTTTCGCGAACAAAAAGGCGGACTAGAATCCTGACGAGAAAGACGAGGATGTGGAGAACTGGGGAACTAGAGAACGAGCCAGAGGAGAGAGCGACAGCGCACGAAAGTGCAGTAGGCAGGGACGCGGGTGCGACGGACGCGAGGAGGGTTTAGATGAGTGGGTGGATGAGGTGGAGTTGGCGAGATTTCATCCGGCTTTTGTGACGCAGCTGATATATTTTTATCTGACGTTGGGATTCGACGACTGCTCGAACCGCTCTTAGCCGAGCTCTCGTCTGATATCGACCGATAAGACATATGCAAATGGTTATTAAGCCGCGCCGGGCGAAAGCGGGACGTTCGTTTCGATTCGCGGAATTCCGCCGGGATTTGTCGCTGCTAGTCATAAAGGCACGGCTATTGAGGATTCAGACTTGCCGGTACGCTGATCGTGTACGTGATCGAATGTAGGGCATCCGCGCGACAAATTTTGAGAGAGGCGATACTTCGCACATTAAAAAAGCACGCTGGACTGAAGCGGGAAATGCGCTGGAGTATTTCGTTACTTTTGGTGCGACTATCCAATATTCAAGTTATATTTGACGAATGGCAGTATAAAGTAAAAGCACTAATATCTGAACAATAATAACACTGGCACCAAACTCTGGACATTCTTATTATTTTTACGAATTTAAACTTTCAACTAAACTAATACGAATTTAAACTTTCAACGTAATATATATATATATATATATATATATATATATATATATATATACAGGGTGTCCCGAACCTCCATGATAACCTTTGGTGAGAACGTTGGTGAGAACCTCCATGATAACCTTTGGTAGAACCGATTAAGGTGAGCAAGAAAGTTCTGTGCCGTTTTGCAATATTCGCTATAATAGTCGAGATATTAATTAAAAAAGATTAGTGAATGATCACGCGCAATATGGTAGATGAGCTGCAGTGGCGCTGTCTGCCGTTGCATAGTTATACTATATTAGTATATTAAATAGTATATTAAATAGTATATTATAGTATATTAAATCAAACTGAATAAAAAAGTCCTTTACTATTTTGTAAATTACCATATAAATTTTTAGATATTAATTAAAGAAAATTTATGCATTATGGTATACAATCAAATATGTAACAATTTTCTTTAATATTTAAAAATCTATGTGGTCATTTGCAAAATGGTAGAGAACTTTTTTGTTCAGTTTGACTTTATATATAAGTATACAACGGCAGACGGCCCCACTGTAGCTCATCTACTATATCGCGCGTGATCATTTACCAATCTTTTTTAATTAATATCTCGACTATTATTACGAATATCGCAAAACGGCACAGGACTTTCTTGCTCATCTCAATCCGTTCTACGTTCTCACTAAGGGTCATCAAGGAGATTCGGGACAAAATATATATATATATATTTTTTTTTTTAGATTAAAAATTAAATATTCGTATTTAAAGACCAGAACAAATACAAATATCTAGAGTTAGGCATCAGTGTTGTTATTATATATATAGTGTCTAGGTATTGGTACGCTTCCATGTTTAGTTATTACCTTTATTCATACTTGATTGTAAATCATGCTGAATGCAAATAACATACAGATGCAAAGTAACGGAGTGACTTTTGAAGCGTCCGAATAACTCAAAATACTAATACGCGTTGTTCTGCATTTTTAAGTCACGATTCAAACGTTATCGTTGCAGTATTGTGCTTCTCCTTATTACAAAGCATGAGCTTCTACGCTGAGAAAAAAGAAGTATTTTATACAATTCTTGTAATTTCCTGCGCGACGAGGTCATAAATGTCTCCGTAAATCTGGTCGTTAAAGCTATCCCGGTATAACGCAGGTTTGCGCAAAAGGCCGGAAAGGTCGTAACTCCGATTCTGGAAACAACTGCATAGATATTCTATCGTATTACTATGTCATTATGAGTACATCGCGTTAGCTTTTCCCGAACAGGGAATTGTTTCCTATAGGATTATCTATGTGACATGTCTCATTTCAGAAAATGCACGCAATAACCTAACATAATTTCCGACATAATTTTAGTTGGGATAATTGATCCCTAATCACGTTAATTTTTGGTTCCATTTAACACTTGCGCGTTGATGTCTTTAATCTATTCATTAATAGTCTGTTTAACATTCAAGCTATCGAGAAAATGTAGTGTGCGAAATAGCATTGTCGTTAAAATTGAATTGCGGTACTTGACATGTCGGCGATAACAGGATCAATTTTGCATGAGCGCATAAATCATGGGAGTAAATCAGATTTGAAAATTCATCACACAATTGTTGGAAGCAGACGTGGTCACGCGTATTCTCACCGACTAAGAAAGAAAAGCGTTTCATTCGCCGCACAGAGTGACGTTCGCAACCACCGTATGATTTAACGGAAGACTTGTTGACACTTATCGTCTGCTGCAAAACAATCGATGTACGCGGCGTGAGAGGAAAAAACGAAAGAAAGGAAGAAAGGAAAAAAAATTCGCGCGTCGTAAAAATCCATTGCTAGGCGATGGTACTCGCACGGTTATTTTCAATGGAGATTATACGTATAAAACAATCTGCGCTCGATACAGCGATAAGCCCACAGCGGGTTTATCGTCGCGGTGTAATATCGAAAAGAGCTCGAGGTTGGCGCTATGGGTAGGAATCGAATCGCGCGTGGGAGGAGAGAAAGTTATTTTACAAGCAGGCGAACCAGCGCAGAAGCGCGAAATGGCCCATTTCATGAGAGGTACCCCGCGACTCTACGTAGACGTACGTACGCGCTCAACATTTGCGCATGTACACACACACACACAAGTGTACATATATGCGCGTACATAAACATGCGACCGTTAACACGACGCGAAAGCGCCGGTGTCTCGTAGTTTATTTTGGCCTTTAACACAAACAACAAGGACGATAATGCTCGGTCCCGGCTGACACTCGCAACGTACGGCCACGTGAGCCTGATTTTCGACATCGAGTGCATTCCCGCAACATCCCGCGGGACCTCGCGGCTTTCGCTAGCGATTTCCAGCTGGATTGCTCTCGTCAACGTATGGTCACTCACTGTTATTGTAATTGTCCAATAATGATGCATCCTGCGTACCGTGATGGTGGCCCGATGTCTGTGCCTGTATCTCCAGATTCCTCGCTTGACGTCCTGCAATGACAAGAGAAGAGATACGGGTGTTACGAGATGTTAGAGATCGGGAAACTGTCGGTCGTGTGATTGAGTTAAAGGTGACGTACAGAGAGCGACATAATGGCCGCTTAATGGCACGTCTCGTTGAATAAACGGCGATATTTCGACGATTATTCCGAGAGAGTGACATTTATAATATAAAACAAAATTATTTGTAGCAGAGGTGGTAATATTTCAGATGTACTGAAAAAAAATACTTGAAAACTTACTTATAGAATTGTAAGATTTATTTGCAATAAATTTTATATCGCGCAAATCAATTTTCAAGTATTTTTTTTTTCTTATTTTTGTCGTGTTTCTCGAATAGTCGCGTTGCATAAAAATTACAACACGGTTAAAGTGACTGAAAATTTTCGCTTATTTTTTAAGAAATTATATATTCTTCTATTTATTGCACTTTTAGTGTACTCTTTCAGGCGTATCGAGAAGTGTCGCACATACGCGGTTGAAACACTGAAATAAATTAATTATCTTTGCACGCCTCAAAACCTTTGGTTGTTTATACGGGATTATAATGACAACGATCAACGTGATACTGTATCAGGAACCGTAGACCGTAACGATGTGAAGTATACCAAAGATCCGATTAAATTGCAAAACATCAGTGAATCAGTTTAATCGAAATCCATTAAATCAAACCTGCGATATCGAGTAGCCGGGCATTATTCGTGAACTCGGTTAACGCACGAAGAGAGACTCGAGTATTCGACACAGAGAGTACCCGATTACACCGACAACATCGTATTGAATTCGCGTCCGTTCCCGAAAGTTTGCTCGCAACACCGGAAATCGCAATTAAATCCTCTAAATTCGCAGTGTTAAATGTCCACAAAATGTCGTGCCTAAGGAAATGTAGCTTTTCGATTCGATCCGTAAATAAAGTATATCCTGGCTCTTTGTAGATTCCTCAGTGTGTGTGTGTGTGTGTGTGTGTGTGCGAACTGAGACTGTTGAATAAAATATTTCTCTAAGATGGCAAACGGTGTGGAAGAAATAAATACGCAGTGAGTAAGAAACGTCTCTTTTCTCGCCAATTTAAATTTTCGTCGTTAATATTAATCGACAGTTTATACAGGCACGCCCTTAACACACGACCGATAAAAACGCAGAAAATCTGGTCGGAACGATCGATTCGGTTGCACCGGCAAAGTCATGCACAGCTTCGTGATGCAGCCGCGGACATTTTCGATCGGGAGTAAAAGTCGCGAAACTCGATGCGTAGCCGGGCTACCACATACACACGCGGTCGCTCCTCTACAATGGGTCGTGCTGTGCAGCGTAAAGATAGGATGTCGACTGACTGTAGAGCGCGCAACCGAGCCGCGAGTCCTGACGAGTGTGAAATTACAGCGCGTTGTTTAAAATGCCTCGTGGCGCTTTTCAATACGTTTGAAAGATAAATCGGACGCTCCTCGGCCTGCGCGCGGCCATTAAATCCATCGATAATAAAAGCGAACCGTTACACACGCGTATTCACACACACACACACACACACACACACATGGGCTGCGCCTCCACAATGCTCGCTAGCCTATGCTTGGATCAGAGCAAAGCTTTGAACTTATCGATAATGGGTACACTCGGTTATTTTATCCCAACTGTATTTTCGTATTGGGATGCTGTTTCTTTTTCGTTGTCATTTTCGAGAATTAAAAAGATATTTAATCGTTTGTAATCTGTATAATTACAATTTTTCTTTTTTGCGCTCATACGAGAGCGCGGCAGTCTTTTCAACGATTGACGTATGTTTGCGCAGTGGAGTTCTCTCTCTGTCAAATTAAAAAAAAAAAAAAAAACTTTTTCGTCCGCTACTTTTTGAGAGCCCTTAATCCCCAAAAAGGGGATATTTTGTTACCTCGGGGAATATTTTATTTGCGGTTTTTCGCCTCTGACGTCGGCGAAACCGGTGTCAGTGTGACAGATGGATCCAATAATACATATCCCTCTCTGTGAAATTGCTGCATTTTCATCTTTTTCTTCAGTAGACATACAGATACGCCATATATCCATTAACAGGTAGTAGGATTAGATGTCGTATCCGGGATTAAAAAGTTTACTGGACTACTTTAAACGAACGGGTAAACAGGCGAAACGCCACCGAGTCGCGCATGTATTTGCAAGGCAACGTGCGTCCGAATTGTTGTTGTGTGTCGGCCGTGTACGAATCGTCGCAAATTTTGCGGGTAGTAACGCGCGATATTTTCCGACGCGAATTCGAGGTGACGAAACTATCTAAACTTGGAGATTATGACAACCGTTTGTCGCGAGTTTAACGATGTTCAGTGACGGCGCTTCCCCGATAGTTATATAACTTCGTGCGTCTCATAAATGCGAGCCACGGAGCAACTTGAGGATAATTACATTCGCAGATGACAGAGGGTAAAATTACTTGCATTATGAGCACGGGAGTAGTAGATTACACGAGGGAAATGTAAATTTGTAAAAGCCAATATATACGCGCGTTTTATGTCTTCTGCGCAAGTGAAAATTGGAAATTATAATTACGAGCGCCGTGAGTAATTGCACACGGCGTTGCAATAAATTAATGACAAACATAAATCTGTCGAAATGCTGCGCTCCCGCGCAAATCTGCTGCTGTATGAAACAAAAAAAAAAGAATATACACACACGCGCACACACACACACATATATATACACACACACACACACACACACGCACACAAACTAAAAGAGAAGGCAAAACAAGCGAGAAAAAATCTATGTAAATTTCCGCGAGATTAATTTATAATAAACGCGCGCAGGTGAAATTTTTCGAGATAAACGCGGAAAACGCGTTCGTTAGCCGTACGAATGAATGTTTCACGAGTTCCTCTCTGTGTGCCTTACGTACTTCACAATATTTCCGTCCAGTTTTGTATATATTTTTTCAAACGCGCATTGTAATGTATGCATCTGGAATATGTTTACGATGCGTTATGCACAAAAGTTCTCTCTCTCTGTCTCTCTGCTCGCCGAGTAACACCCGACGCGCTATAAAAACCGCAGCGGCAAATGCACTTCCGCGCGCTTTCTCGGGTGTTCTCGCGCGGGCTCGCGAGCCAGGCTGCGCTTGGCCACATTTTCACGGTATCTTTGCCAGTTCTCTCGCGCATTTTCAAATTTTCTGTTTCGCTCGAACTTGGATAACTGAGTTCCATTGACCGCTGTTCCATTCAAGCTCGCGCCAACGTGCGCCGCTAAGAAAGGTCTCATTGTTAGAGTTGGTACTGTCACAGCCGTTCGCTCGCTCGCTCACTTTTTCCTTTTCTTTTCACAGCGAGCATAACTACAACTATTGCGCAATTGTATTTTCCGCGACGGCGTCGTCGTCCCCGTCGTCTTTTCGGGCGGTCGCCCATCCGTTTATTTAGAAGGCGCCTTCTCATGAAACTGTGTGATATCGCGCACGTCCGTGGTAAGATTAATGGGCCAATCTTGGCGCCGAGCGCGGTTACGCGCAATCAGGGGGACAGCTTTTCGGAGCTTCAACCTTTCATCGTGATAGCGACGACGTGCATACCATCCACTCGTGCGTCTCACGGTGACCTCCGCGCGGCCCCGAGATTTACGCGGCTACGTTGAGACTATTCAAGTCTCTGCGGTATTTACTTTACGTTCCGTCATGGGGTTCACGCAAGCTCCGTAAAACGTAGTCTCGCTCCGCAGAGCTCGCGATGTAACGCAGTCACGGGATTGCGTCGTCGTCGTTGCGAGCGGAGCGAGGCGGAATTTTATCGCCGCGCGAGTATATCCGGAAATTTTTGACGCCGCGATATTTCCGCCGTTGGTGGCTGAGCGACAACGGTCTCGCCCAGATTGCAAAAGAACGCCGAGACAGTTAATACAGCGCGCTTGATTTTCTTTGAAAACGAAGACTCACACAAAACACTCCTGTAGACGGTTATCGAACGACGTAATATTTGTCACGGACGAGCGGGTCACTCGGGAACGGAATCGATTTGTCTTTTCTCGTGAATTCACATCGAAAGGTCAAACTGCCAGGAACTATTTATCAAGCGACCGGAACATACCGGGGGGAGAACTAAAGAGAGAGAGAGAGAGAAAAAGAAGAAGCAGAAAGTCGCGAGAAAGAATAATGAACTCGCTTGAAAAGTCTCGCAAAGGCATCTCGCAACAAATTATCGTTGCTTTCTTCGCGCGGCGTTCTCTGCCCGCCGTGTTCCCGTCAAATGTCGTCGTTTATTCGTCTCCATGAAGTCATACCTGTCGCAGATCGGACTCGGTCATCAATAATCTTCTTATTTCCCTGTGTAACGTAATCCGATTAATATGTAAACGGGAGCCAAATATGCGCGGAATACCGTGCCGGGGATTTGATGTTTCAGGATCACGAATCGATATTCCGGATTTATGTCGTACGAAATTATATCCAACGTAACGTGAGACATACGCGAGTCGCGAAAACACATCGACATCGCAAGATATTTGCGAACATGTAACGTGTAACATGAGTCGAGGTAAAAGTGGCGTTGTCGTTATAATTAGTGTAACTATTGACCGAGGAATGAACGCGTGTATAATTAACGAAGTCTTTTTTTTAGGAACAAATAGTCTGTCATTGTGTGTTTCGCGGTTATCTAATTACATAAATGGAAACTGAGACATAAAATAAATGGAAGGTAAAAGCAGATTACACAGCGGCGTAATCCAACGGGTATTATTTCATGGCGAGCCTTATCTCTCGCTGTGCCCAACCGTAGAACACTTTCGGTCGGATTAGCTTCATTGTTCAAAACTCGAGCACATGACGTTACGTATCCATATGGCGATAAATGCTCCCACATTTCTCACGCCGATTCTGCCGACCGTGGCCCGAAACCGCATCATCCCCGCCGTTTTCGCTCGCAGGCTCGCGAGCTCGCTGACTTACGGCGGATAATGAAAGTCATAGTCTACTTAACATAATTTCGTGCACATTGATTATTCACTTTGTCTCG